CCCACCCCCACACACACACCCTGTGCAGTGACCTGACTCAGAGAGAGCTGGGGAAGTGGAAGCCTCTACCTTGGCCTGCTGGCTCAGCCGGGCCACCTCCCCCTGCAGGCCTCTCGAGGTGGCCTGTTCCTCCTCCAGCTGGCGCTGCAGTTGCATTTTCTGCGGCAGAGCCAGGCGCACCCAGGATTTGGGGGGTGGCCATGGGGTGTGCCGGGGTCCCCTGAGGGGCAGCCCTGGTTGGGGGAGGGGGCTGTATTCTGCCTCTTTCACCTATCGACTCAACTTGAGTAAGGATGTCAGGGTTGTGCTTGCAGCTATGGGAGCTATGCAGAGGTGACTAAGCCCATGCTGACATTTCTCAGTTAGTGTAAGTGTTTAAGGCCTACATACAACTCCTGTTTCTACAGGGCATGGGAAAGGAGATCAAAGTGACATTTGCTGGTCATTTTACATACACAACCTCTTCCTTAAAACAGGCCCATAGGGTGACTAGGGTGACCTTTTATAGGTTAGAAAACTGAAGCTGCATAGAGTAAACGGCCTGTTCAGGATCACACGGCAAGTTGATGGGGTGCCAGGGCTATCCAATCTGAAAGCCCCGCTCTCTGTAACAGTTCAGTCGTTGTTACCAGTTGTAAGTGTATTTATACAGATGGATTATAACACAGATAACTTGATGATGGTACATTCACTTTCTTTGCAAATGAGACTAATCACCACACTGGAGAGTCTGGACCACAGTTTTAGTTACCAAAGAGGAAGTGACAAATATCGGTGCCTCACTCCAAGTATAGCCATACCATTCCCCAAGATGCAGACAGTAGCCAGACGGCCTGACTTCCAGAGGGACAGCAGTCTCATGTGACTGCTGAGAGTGAGGCAGTCACAGGGCTGGGTGGGCCCCCACTTTCAGCATCAGGGGCCCAAGGCCCAGAGAATACAGACAGCTCCACTGTGGAGCTCACAGGCAACGCCGGGGTGATTCTTAGCGCTCTGCTGAACCATGCAGGGCTCTTCCATGACAATCAGATAATATTCGCAAAATCTTCACAAACATTCTACTCACATGTGTTTCAATTCAGTGGAGGAAGCTTAAAAACTTTCCCACCTTGCAGAGAAATGTTTTGCATTTAACAACACAGGGACATTCTGGTGGGGAAGGAATTCCAGTTAAGCCTGACTATCCAAGCATGCATCATTGCTTTTGTGAGAGTTTCTGGTAGCAGTTTAAAATGTAAGATTCTGACAGTACGGCAATGTAATTTTAATACAGGCATTTATAGGTATACTGAGGCCTGGTGCACAAATTCCCAGTTGAGGGGACAATTTGCATATTAGCCTTTTATTATATAGGACAACACCATGATGGATTGTGTAAGAGCTTATGTCCATTTGTAATTTAATTTGGACGTATTCTCTAGGTCAACATATTAGAGTAACTTTATGTAAATGTAATTTAAAAAAGAGAGCTGACCTTTAAAATAGGAAAAGCCATTATTGCTAAATCAAAGGTGGCTGGGGGTTTATACTGGGAGGAACTGAAGCAATCAGGGTCCTTTCACTTCTGGCTTCACACATGCATTTGCATTTAGTTGTCTGATCCTGTGGGAAAGTGAAGCCCCCCCCCCACCCCCACCCTCACACACACACCCTGTGCAGTGACCTGACTCAGAGAGAGCTGGGGAAGTGGAAGCCTCTACCTTGGCCTGCTGGCTCAGCCGGGCCACCTCCCCCTGCAGGCCTCTCGAGGTGGCCTGTTCCTCCTCCAGCTGGCGCTGCAGCTGCATTTTCTCATCCTTGAGAGCTTTGATTTCTTCTTTCAAAGAGCACATCTGCTTCTCATAGTCCTGTGTTTTCAGTTCAAAACTTTTTTCAAGAAGTCTAGGCAGCAAAAGGAAAAATAATTCAGAATTTTCTCTAAAGTCTTTACCCTGAGTTAGAGCGATACATCATTTTGAAAATAAGAGGAGACTCCAGAAAGGAGACACGTTAATTAGGATCTATTGTGACAGTTCCCATAATAATGGCCTTATTTTTAGCTGACGGTTTCCTGTCCCCTTAAGGAAAGGAAGCTTCTTACACTTTCTGATCTGAGAAGTGTGGCTCTAACACGGTCCCACACAGAGGAAACACAGCACAGGAGGTTGAACTTAAAGTCTCAGTGGTGGTTGGGGCACTGTATTCCCAAAGCCATCCCAGTTCCATGTGGCCCCCCACAGAGGGGCCACTTCCCTCGGCAAAGACCTTGGCACATTCAGCCAAGTCCTGGCCCCTGCCAAGTCCCAAGGATCCTGGAAGGCTTTGGTCTGGTCCTACCCAAGTTAGTGTAGTCATTTAATATGTTGAAGCATCCAGCCCTTCAAAGACTCTAGAACAGCGGTTCTCAACCCGTGGGTCGCAACCCCTTTGGCGGTCGAATGACCCTTTCACAGGGGTCGCCCAAGACCATCCTGCATATCAGATATTTACATTACGATTCATAACAGTAGCAACATTACAGTTATGAAGTAGCAACGAAAATAATTTTATGGTTAGGTCACAACATGAGGAACTGTATTTAAAGGGCCAGAAGGTTGAGAACCACTGCTCTAGAATAAGTTTCAGCAAATTCAGGTGCCCCAACTTCCATGAAAACCCAATTCCTCATGAGATGGTTGCTGAATTAAATATGGATGAATGACCAAGAAAATAACTGAAGAGAGATCCATGACCTAAACCAGCCAACACAGTGCACAGCAGCCCAGTGAGAACTGAAGCAGACCTAGGGGCTCTGAGTTTATGAGTTATCATTCTACTTGCTAAACTGTCGACGGGTTTATTTTAGGACTTGCTTTAATAGCACAAAAGGAAAATCACTGAGGAAGAGAGTCACATTCCCACTAGGTTTTTGTTTCATTTCCTTTTATAGGTATTATCAAAAATTTAAACTTTGTTTTCAGGTTTTTAACCTGGTTGGTGTGGCTCAGCGGTTGAGCACCTATGAACCAGGTCACAGTTCGATTCTCGGTCAGGGAACATGCCTGGGTTGTGGGCTTGATCCCCAGTAGGGGACATCCAGGAGGCAGCTAATCAATGATTCTCTGTCATTATTGATATTTCTATCTCTCTCTCCCTCTCCTTTCCTATCTCTGAAGTCAGTAAAAATATATTTAAAAAAAACAAAACCAAAAAACCCCCGCAGTGCTCCTAAGAGGCCAGCAAAATACCTTTGAAGAAGCAGACTGCAGCCGGCAGTCACATGTAAAAACAATCTTAAATTTGTAACCTAAATGAAGTGGGTGTGTTTCCACAGACTGTGGGCTTCTTTGTGCCTCTGTCGGGTTGTGACAGTGGCCAAGATGTCCCCCGTCAACTGACCAGGGACCAGACCGAGGTACAGGTGAGTGCTGATGGGGACTGCAAAGAGCTCAAGGTGACCTGGCCTCAGCCTGGCTCTCCCAGCCCCCCTGCTTGCAATGGTCACTCCCAAGTGGCCCAGTACACAGTGAGGGTCCAAAAATTGAACTCCTCTCCTAGAGTTGAAAGTTCATTGAAAAATAGATTTTTCAAGGTAGAGTCAAATATCCCTATTTTAAAACCGATGTAGGATCATGAGACACTTTGTTAGCTCTTGGACTCTTCAGCGACACTCCCTCCCCTAACTTTTTGGCATCCTCCTTCTCACCCAGGCCCAGGCTACTAACTAACTGCATGGGGAGGGTACACATCCTACCACCCCAGGCAGCCCTGAGCCTCCTAGCCCCCTACACCCTGGATGCCAAGAATGTTCCATTTCTTCCCAACACCTTGCCACGCATCCCTACTTTGAGATCTAAAGCCTTTCAGTTGACATCTTAAGAGAAGGGAGCCCAGATTGGAGATTAGTAAAGGGTTTAATATTGACAAGGTCATGGGGAGCTGCCTTAGTTTCTGTGAGGGTTTCATATCCCTTACTGTGTGGGACAAGAATCATGTGAACAGGTGTAACAGGAGGGGGAAGGGAGGAAGGTGTATTTCCTAGGCAATCATCTTAATTCTTAGGCTTCATGGGAGTTGAAAGGGTGGCAGTGTCTGAACTCCTCACTGTCTTGGCAAAAAAGGGAAAGCAGGAAATTCCCAGGGTCCCCTGCCCACACTGCAGAGCCCGGGCAGTGTCTGCAAGGTGCACAAGGTGGGCATTCGCTCTCACAAACCTCCACGTCTTCACTTCCTACAAATATGCACACCCCGCTCTCCTGTGCCTGTGACCTGCTATCTGCAAGCCAAAAAGCAAAGTAGAGAACAGCAGAGAGAGAAAGTGGCAGTTGTAAGGCAACCCATCTTTCATACATTCTCTGTCGTTCTTCTTTTTGCACGTCCTCGAAGAGCTGCTTGGTGAGGTCATCCATTTTCCCTGTGGAAAGACAACGCTTTTTGAAATAGGTCTGCACACCAATGCCTGGATTGCTTCACGTCTTATTTAAGAAAGTGTGAATGCAAGAACAGTCATGGTGTATTTATTCCTAACAGGACGACGAGTGTAGCTGTCACCTTTATAAACTAGAAATACAGGTCCGGGAGTTCAGAATAATAATCCTCACAAATTTGTCATGTTGAAATCGATAAATAGTTTCATTTATATTACTTTTATTGGTCTGAATATCATTTGTTTGATTAAAATTAGGAATATTGGCTTTGAGATAATAAATATTTTTATTAAAAGTAAACAGAAACCCTTTGGGGAGAAAATGACCAATTTATGATAGGGTTTCTCAATCTTAGCATTATGATACTTCAAGGGAGGTAATTCTTTATCCTGGGGGGTGTGGGGGGGCTCCCTGTGCACTGTAGGATATTGAGCAGCATCCCTGGCCTCTACCCACTAGAATCCAACAGCACCTCTACTCACTCCACTTGTGACAATTAAAAATGTGTCCACACATTGCCAAGTGTCCTGGGAGGCGCCTTGACTGAAACCAGTCATTCACGATAACCAAGAAAATAATAAAGTGTCTTCATTTAAATACGGGATCCCTAACACAGTGCAGGTTAAGGGAGCATGGGGTTCTGGACAGCCTCTGGCCATGACAATCCCACGTCCCCAGCATGTCCACACACGACAGGTGCCCTTCAAAACAGGAGCAGGATGACAGATGCAGCCCATCAGAGCCTGGTGTCCCTATTTGTACTTAGCTGACACCTCAGTCTTGAGTTTTGCCTGGTTTCTGAGTCCTGCCCCAGAGGGGAGCCCAGGGATGAAGTGACAATAGCAATCCTCCAAATTATTTGGTTAAAAAAAAGCCAACAGTTTAATAGTTTGTCCAGTGCAGTGTCAAATGTCCCTGAATCAAAATGACTGCTTTAAACATCGTGAGTCAGCCAGAAAACATGAGGGAAGACACCTAAGGTTACATTTAGAAGCCAGCATATTTGATATAATTTCAATTTTCACCTCACTCCAGAATTGGCTTACCATCGTGGGCCATTTGCAAAAAAGGCTAAACAGGCTGCTCACATGTGACTTTCTGTCCAAGTCAGAATTTCAAAAAGGGGAAAAGACTTTGATAACATCCCTCCGTCTAGGTCCCAGGATGAGCAAAGGCTGGTGCCTTTCACAGAGCACTGTTTGCCATGTGTAGGGAGACCCTCGGGACAAGCAGTTTATGGACACTGGGTTTGACAGTTTTCATACACGTTTTAGAAGATGTTATAAAATTATCCACCCAAACATGTTAATGCTACCAAATATGTAATTTTCAAGACACACTTGTGGGAATTTAAATATTCCTGGGGGAAATGCCACTTAAAGTTAGAAAAAAAGAACAAGCGCCCAAGAGGAATGTATTGTAATAACAATGGGTAAGGCCTTCCCTCATTTAGGTTCAAGGTTTACTCTTAGACCTGACCTCTGACCTTGCCCTGTTCATCATCAGTCCTTAGAGACGGGGTGCACACAGAATCTGGAGCAGGAGGCACGCCGTCTTAGGCTTCATCTGGGCGGCCTTTCCTGCTCTTCTGGACAGGACTCGGGATGTTCACTCCCTCCTCCTGACATGGCTCCTCTCACACTCTCACCTGGCCCCCCAGGGCTCTTGTGCTCCAGATTCCACCTGGTGGGGGCCAGGGGGATGCTAGATGCCCAGGCCTGAACCCTCGGGCCTCATGTGCCCCGGGTCAGAGCTTTAGGAAAAAGGTCCCTGGAAAAGACAGGCAATTGAGTGTGGCAATTTAAACCACCTGGTCAGGAACCACCAGGTTCATGAGCCTGTTGGGGTTTACCAACTGCTTACGATTAGAATTCAAGCTGGAAAGCTACAAATGGACAGAGCGAGGGTAAGAGTGGCTGCTTCGCACCCATAAATAAAGGTGGTACCACCACTGGTTCCAAGCATCTGTGCCTGACAGCCTGGGGGAGCTGTGGCTCATGAGGTAAGCATGCCCTTAGTTCAGGGCCAAGATACCCCTTAGATCGAGTAAGGTGGACAGATCTGCATCTGACTGCAAATCCTTGGCAAACAACAAACACGACACCAACATCATCCTAACTAACCTGTGGCTCATGAGGTAAGCATGCCCTTAGTTCAGGGCCAGGGTACCCCTTAGATCGAGTAAGGTGGACAGATCTGCAATCTGACTGCAAATCCTTGGCAAACAACAAACACGACCCCAACATTATCCTAACCCCCCAGAGCACACCCATGCACACACACAGACACACATCTTTCTCCACCTGTGATGAAAGGCTCCAGGCTTATGGCCAAACATTGGTACCTTGCAAGTGGCCCAGGGAGGGTCTGAGACAGGGATTGCTGTGTTGTCTGACAAAGATGGAAATAAACAGATGAATCTATAGGGTAACATTACCACAATTTAAATATCGTTATTTTCTGTGGAGCAACAATGTTCTTGTTATACTAAGTATACACCAGAGGCTCCCGATGCTGCCTAAAACTCGGTTCACAGCCAACAGTTATTCCAGAATGACTGGACAAGCCAACGCATGGGTGGATGAATCCGGCCACCGTGGGCTTTACCTTTCAGCTCTTCAGTCTGCTCCTGAAGCTTGCGCTGTATCTGCTCTTTTTGTACTTCCAGCTCCGAATTATGCTTCTGAAGCTTTGCCAATTTCTAGCAAAGGGAAGCAAAAACTTTTTTGAAAAACCTCATTTTAAGTTTGGTCACCATTGTCCTACTTGGTGAAAAGCTGTGTCTTTTTAAAATAGTATGTGTGCGCATGTGTGTGTATGTATGTATGCATGTGTACACACACACATTCTAGCCGTGGATAGCAGCCAGCACCAGCGCGCGGCATCACGCTGCATTTACCTTCGCATGCAAGGGCTCCAGGTGACCGCAAGCAGACGCCAGTTCCCAGCCTGCAAGAGCTGAGATCAAGGAGCCAGACCAAACCAAGGTCACCTCACATGTCAAGGCGTCTTCGCTATCCTTTTCTTGAGCTTCTCGACACACAGGGTATTTATCTATTTAATACGATGTAAATTATCTGTGATGTACCATGGATTCACATTTTGAGAGTGTTATGACTCCGGAAGGCAGGCTGTGTGATCGTCATGTAGGTTCTACTATCTTAGCTCCTCTTGGTCAAGTGTCTGCCGGGCTGGCAGCTGAAGGTGCTGATAGATGGTTGGTGACCGGCAGTGTGAGCAGTGCCAGCAGCCAGGCACCAGGCCTTGGGGAGGCACAGAGACACCCAGGACTCCAGGCTGCCACAACCTTGGGTGCTGAGGACTTTGAAAAGTGCGGGAGGATGGACAGGAATAAAGACACCTCGCTAGAAATGATCAGCTCGTGCTTGGGCAGGGCTCTGTGATAGGCGTTTAGCTAAATGATTTCACCAGAGAACTTCATCCTCAAAACAACAATGACAAGTTACTTTTTGTCATTTCTGTTTTACATACGAGGAACTGAAGTTCAGAGAGGGTGAGGGCAACTTGCCTAAGGCCACCCAGCCGGACAGCAGCAAAGACAAGCTTTAGAGCAGGGACACTGGGTTTTTACGTCTGCTGCTCTTCTGACCCCACCGCTGAGATGAAGACCTGCCAAGCTCTGCACTGCTGTCCTGGGTGAGGTGCCCAGGGCTCACACCAGATGGGCCAGCAACAGGGGACCAAGGTGGTCCTGGCAGAGGGGGAAGCAGCCACAGGGCTCCTTCTTGGCCTTCGTCTCTTGACAGAAATGGAAAGGAAGAGGCAACGTCATGTTGTGTTTCTTCCTAGACTCTGGGCTCTGCCCTCTGTCCTCTGAGAGGGAGGCCCCTCTGACAGCGGGAGCTCTGTGGGGACACACGCTGAGGTCCCTCCCATGGGAAGACTCACAGTGATCGCCAGGCCCAACCAGCACCAACCTCTTCCACGGTGGCCTTGTATCTCTGCCCCCTCTCCTCATAATTGCGCCTGTGGGCGGCTGCCCTGTCCAGTTCCGATTCCAGTTTCTGAACCTTCTCCACATCACCGGCCCGAGCGGCAGCCAGGCTGGTCAGCTTCTCCACCAGCCCGTGGTTCTCTCTGTTCTAGAGAACAACAGCAGGTGCTCAGGGGTTTTCCCAAAGAAAGAAGCCGTTCCCTTGGCTTCTCACAGCCTTTAACACGGCATCTAAGTCTCTCAGAGGTTCAGTTACATTGGCCACGTTTATCATTGTGAGGGCGTGGATGAGCATCCTCGTCCCAGCGACAACAGCGAGGCAGAGCTGGTGGGTTAATGTTCCTGAGCTGGTGGGGCTCTTTTCCTGTGGGGCCGGTCTCATCCCGGAGCACCAGGCGACTCGCGTGGTGTGGGCTGGATCGGGTTCCCCATGCCCCCAAGTCACATGGTGAAGTCCTAACACCCAGCACTTCAGAATGTGACTGACTTTAAACAGAATTAAGGTAAAATGAGGCCATGTGGGTGGACCTAATTCAGGATGACTGGTGTTTTTATAAGAAGAGGAGGTCGGGATACAGACACACACAGAAGGAAGGTGATCTGAAGACACAGGGAGGAGGTCACGGTTCAATTCCCGGTCAGGGCACATGCCCGGGTTGCCAGCTCGATCCCTAGTATGCAGGAGGGGCGTGCAGGAGGTGGCCAATCAGTGATTCTCTCTCTTCGTTGATGTTTCTCTCTCTCCCTCTCCCTTCCTCTCTAAAATCAGTAGAAATATATTAAAAAAAAAAAAAGACATGGGGAAGAGATCGCCATCTGCAAGCCCAGGGGAGACAACTCAGTGGAAACCAGCTTGGCCAACACCTTGAACGTGGAGCGATATTCTGCACAAGCCACATAACACACGCCTGTCACACAGCAGCACAACAGAGGAAACTGCGTCAAAATGTCAAGTGTATTGGTTTGCATGCTGATCCATTCATTAAGGATCCTTATGGTATAGCTAAGGCTACATTTAAAGTTCACCTCAGGCGACTCTCAGTATAAACTGAGGCAGCCCAGGAGTGAGCTCCATAGGCCTGGATGCTGCATATTGCACAGCCCTTCCCCACGGGCAGAGAGCAGTGGGAATGGCACGGGGAGTCTTCTCACACGAGGCAGGGCTGCAGCTAGGCCATATGGACCTTCAGGCAGATTAGGAAATGGCAGCTCCTCTGAGCCAAGACCTCCCTGAGGGAGCCTGGCTTGGCACCCAGACAGCAGCAGCTCTGTGCAAATTAAAAAACGCACCCCTGCCTCCAGGCAGCCTATCTCGGTGCCAGAACACATGGGTCGGCAAGCAGAACCAGGCTGTTTCAGCCCCACCGACCCTCCTGGGCAGCTGCCCTGTGCAGTGTACAACCTGCACGACCATATGTAGCAGCCCTTTAAAATGTGCTTCTATTTCCCGGCTCAGGGTCCATGTGACCTGAACCTCCTGGCATGGGTATACATTTGACTGCATAGCTAAGGAACTGGCCCAGAACAAAATATATCTATTGGAAAAAGTAAGTATGAAAGATGCATTAGGAACACCTACCTGATCTTCTAGCTTTTTCTGCAGGCGCTGGACCCTGTACGTGAGCTGAATGTTGAGCACGAACCGTCGGATGCTCTGGAACCTGCGCCGGGCCAGCCACGCCCGAGCATATTTCTGAAGGATCACAGCCTTGTGTTCCTCCAGCATCTTTAAAACAAGATTTTGTGAAATGCAAACTGGCTCGCCATTCTTTCTCTCATCAACGCCTCCAATGTTGGGAGGTGCAACTACCACAATGTTCCCACAGTGCAAAATACAGATTTCTTGTAATCAGCCCATAGGGACCTACAATAGACTTTTGAAACAATAGCCAAATTCCACCTGTAGCAGCCATGTCCGGACATTCACATACCAGAACTTCCTGCTCTAGGAAGGTCTTCATGCAAAAGCACTATCTCACTCTAGGCATACCTCAGAGATACTGTGGGCTCAGTTCCAGAAACCGAAATAAAGTGAATATCACAGTAAAGTGAGTATCATGAATTGTTGGGTTTCCCAGGGTATGTAAAAGTTATATTTACACTATAGTGTAGTCTATTATGTGTGTAGTAGTATTATGTCTAAAAAGCACAAAACAATAAAAAATACTTTATTGCTAAACAATGCTACCCATCACCCGAGCCTGTTGGAAAAATGGTGCTTGATCGACTTGCTCAACACAGAGTTGCCACAAACCTTCAATGTAAATATTAAACCCCCACAATATCTGTGAAGAGCGAGAAAATGAGATATGCCAGTGCTGCTGGTGAAAAATAACACGAGCCCTGGGGAAGCCTGTGGTCCCGGCCGCACCTTGCGATACCTCCTCCGGGCCAGGCATCCTCGGGTGTAGGCCTGGATGGTGATGGTGGCCACGCGGATCAGCTGGTACAGACTGCGGACAAGGTACCCACGGCAGTGCTTCTGGATGATGATGGCTGCCCAGGCTTCTTTCAAGGCTGCCGCGGTCACAGCTTTCCTTGGTTGAGAAGAACGGGGAGTCAACCTGCTACCCACAGCGCACTGGCTTCTACAGCGTGTGCTCTTTCCGACTAAGGAATAGTCCCATGTTTTGCAAATCTACACATTATGTTCTGTGAGTGGTTTATTGTAATGCCAGATTGAGATCAGTCATTACCGTCTCCCCTTTCACCCTGATATGAATACGCTGGCTCCAGGCACCAGGAACTTCACACTCCTCACATCCAGGCTGATAATCCGCCTCCCTCACGCCCACAGGGACGGTGGCAACAAACCCGTGCACTGCACTTGATCCTTCACCTGTTCACTCATTCTGTGGGCCAGCGGGCTGAAGGCTCCAGATCAGGGAGAGGGTGGCAAACCAGGGCCTCGGGGCCAAGCCTGCAGCTGTCCACCTGAGATGGTCAGGTTCTACAGGAACACACACGCCTATGCTTTACAATATTCCCCGTGCCTGACGTCATGCTACACGGCAGAGGTGAACAACTGTGAGAGAAACGGCGGGGCCCCAACAGCTCTCACAGAACACGTTTGTTGACACCTATCCAAAGGACTGGAGAAGACGACAGAGCTCCTACCTTCAGGATTTACCACCTTGTGGAGCAGACAGACTTATAAGGGGCCAAGTGGGATATGAGAGAAATAGAATGACTGCTAAAAGATCCGTCACAGGATTTACCACCTTGTGGAGCAGACAGACTTATAAGTGGCCAAGTGGGATACTGCTAAAAGATCCGTCTGCGAGATCTTACAGAACTGCTTGGGAAGGGCTGACCTGTGAGCCAGCCCTTGATGGAAAAGGATTTCTGTAGACAGCGAAGGTTGGAAAAGCATTTCATACTGGAGGCCTAGCAGTGCTGGAATGTGCAGAAAAAGAGACTCTGTCTAAAATTGCTTGAATATGAGATACATGGAGAAAATTAGTAGTCAATAAGGTTAGAAAAACAGATGGAAACCATTTGTTATTAAAATATATATCCATATATATAAAAGCCTAAGTGACCTTTATGACCAGTCGACCGGTCACTCTGACGACACACTGACCACAGGGGGCAGATGCTCAAAACAGGAGCAAGAAAATGAGGTATGCCAGTGATGTCCCACAGCCAACCTCCTGCAGCCGGCCAACCTCCTGTGGTCCCTCCCCCCGGCTGCCTGGCCCTGATCAGCCCCAATCAGTCCTGATCACCAGCCAGGCCAAAGGACCCCACCTGAATTCGTGCACTGGGCCTCTAGTTGAAATATATATATGTATTAGACACATACTATGTGACAGCCACTGTGCTAGGTCCTAGTATGGATGTAATGGGAACCAGACAAGTATGGTCCTTGTCCTCACAGAGCTTCCATTCTTATGAATGCATCCAGGCCATAGCAAAGATTGAATGCTTGCCCGGTCAGTGTGGCTCAGTGGTTGAGCATCGACCTATGAAGCAGGAGGTCACAATTTGATTCTCAGTCAGGGCACATGCTCGGGTTGTGGGCTCAATCCCCAGTGTGGGGCATGCAGGAGGCAGCCAATCAATGATTCTCTCTCATCATTGATGTTTCTATCTCTCCCTTCCTCTCTGAAATCAATAAAAGCATATTTTAAAAAAATAAAAAAGATTGAATGCTCTTTGGCAGGAAACAGAGGCTGCTGGAGGCGTCCAGGGCAGGAGCAGGGCAGTGGCTGGATCAGGCCCTGCTTTAGGAAGATGGAGAGAAAGGCGGCAGGTGAAGGAATGTGCTCTAAGAGTGTAAGGAAGCGATGATGCAGGCCTCACCCAGGGCAGGCGCCCAGGAATGGGACGAGCGGGACAGACACAGAGGCAAGTGAAGGGTGCATGGAATAGTCAGGCCTTTGTGATTCCCGACTGGAAAGGGAGCACACACCTGGGGAAGAAGATAAGTCTAGGGTTTCCTGCCCTGGAGGCTGCTGTTGTTAACTGAACTCAGAAGCCCGGGAGGGCGAGCCTGGCTGCATGTGCATGTAAGCCGGTTGCCTGGGGCATGGGGGCTGCGATGGCAAGACCAGTTTGGGGCGGGCTGAGATGAAGGTGGTGGTGCACCAACCACATGGAGAAGCGCAGGAAGAGGTCAGGCTCAGTGACACACCTGCCTTCGCAACTATCCTAGGAGCGAGCCAGGGAGCGAGCTGGGCTACACACATGGAAGCACACAGTGCAGACTGGGAAGAAGGCCCGTCCACTGGCCAGCCCAACATGGCCTCTTGGGAGCACCTGAGGAGGGTGGGACGGGCATGGCTGGTGGGACTACCCTGCGCTCAGCCATCCCCTTGGGCTACCGCATAGCCTTGCCCGAGGGCTCTGCATGTGCTGGCAGGGCCGCCCCGTCAATCCCCTCAGGCATGCTCTGTCTCCTGTCCTCTGACGGTAGGCTGGTCAGTGGCTATTTTTGGCGTCTTTACTCAGGGGCTTCACCGAGACCAGAGTCTTCCTAGGCATTTTCAGTTCTCACAGACCAGGGGCCCAGTCCCTCCACCTGGTCTCACGGGGAATTCTGACCTCCTCCGAGACACCCTGACTGGGGCTTCCTCTCTTCTGGGTCCCGGTTGTCACCTGTCCCACATGGGGACAGCGGGCTGAGTCAGCACACCCGGCCCGGAGGGACACACCCTTCTCATCGGGAGGCTTACGGCCGCCTCAGGGACATGCACCCTGGTCCCAGGAGAAAGGTCCTTTGTCCTTGACAGGCCCCTCCCCCCTCCTGGACGTGACCAGCACAGAAAGCTGCACAACTGCACACATCTCCTTGGCTCCCACCTACCTGACGGTGTGCTGCCCCCGGAAGTACTGCTGGATGGTCAGGGCGGCTTGTCTCTCGCGGAGGAATTTTTTCCTCTGGAGCCAGCCACGGATGTGCTTTTGTATCACAACACAACCCTGCCTCAGTTTATCCAATCGGAGCTTCTCTAAATAAGCCACTTGGCCTGCTCTGAAGAAAATTTTGGTTTTACCAAACTGGTACTGATTGGAATCCTGGAAGAGAAAAATAACATAATCAAAAACAAAATATTTTCAGATTTTCTACAGTATTTGGGAAAGACGTTCAGAGATTCAAAGATGCCCAAAACATCTGTTTACGTTTTTGTTCTTTGACATAAAGCAGACAAACTCTGATCATGATCTAGAAATTTATATTTTGACTTGTTTGTCCACAAAGAGTCACAGGCACCGGGAAAGGCTTGGTTTCTGTCTTCATTTTGGCTCCTCTTTGACCCCCTTCCTGACCGTCATAACTCCTTCCCTATCCCTTTTCCATCATAACTCACTGCTTCGGCAATAATCTAAACCCACGCTGAGGGCCACGTCTGGAACCCTGGCTCGGTGACGTCTGGTGGACTGTGTAACATAAACCAGGCCCATGGAAGATCCCCAGGATGTGGGAGAACAAAGCCGGACAGGAGGACACTGGGGGAAGCCAGGGTTGGAATTTGGGTCCCTAAAGGAGACTCCTGCTGCCAGGGGAGGTGATGCCCATGAGCCTGCTGCTCTGACCTCCTTAGCACATACAGGCGTAGGGCCCATCTTCTTTCCTCTTAGCCACCATGACAATTACAGCCCAGAGACTGAGGCAGGGATGAGGAAACGCGCTTGGGAGACGCGCTTCTTGGTCTGAGCCCGCGACTCGAGGTGAGCGAGCCTGACCTGGATGAGCCTGTGTAAAACCACCTTGCAGACCTCCTTCTTATCGCCAAACGAAAGCTCTTGCTTGGTCATGAGGATACCATAGCGACTGTAGAACTCGATGTACGTCCACCTGGAAAGTCAAAGTGGATGTAAGAAGGCGTGCCAGACAGGGAGCGTGTCACCTGTCACTGCTGGTGGGGTGCAGTCTGTTCTGGGGTGATGGCCCTGACCTCTGACCCGCCTCCCTGCTGGGACACCACCTGAATCTCATGCAGAGCACACCTGTCTACACCTGGACTGTTTTATTAATGCTCAGCTCCAACAATGTCCTCTCCCCCATCCCCGCTCCCTTTCCCAGGCGCCGGGAGGCCGCGAGTGACCCTCGGCAGCAGCTGAGGTGGGGGATGGGGTGGTGGTGATGGCAACCTCCCTTCCCTTCGCCCCTCCCCCGCCCCCTGCCCGCGCTGCCTGCCTATCACCCTGTTCTGGCCCAGCACAGTGGGACACAACTTGGGAGCATCTTACGAAAGTATGTGACCAATTGGGCACTTTCTCCCGAAACAAGGACAGACCGCGTACCGGGATGGGTAGCTCTGCGCACTGATGCGAATAGTTTCCAGGACACCACAGGCTCGCAGCTGCTGGACAATTCTCTTGGAGTCAAACCTTAAAGAAGAGGATTTTACAAGGTGTTAAGCCATCATCATGGACGATCGTGCCCATGAGTAGTGCAGCAGAGCTGCCCTGACCGGGAGCCCCCAGGGAGCAGGCCGTCTGTAACCCACCGGCCACACACAGCAGACGGCTAATGAAGATTTGTTGATGTCAAGTGAAAATGGCACCTCTGTGACACAGTTCAGGGGGCTGAGGACACAGAGAACGGAGCAGGTGGTTCTGCTGTAGGCGACAGGGAGAGGGCCTTATGGGGAAACACCACTGGGCTGAGCTTCGAATGACAACAGAGTGGAAGAAATGTTCAAGCTGCCCTCATCCAAGTGCTCGTTTGATGCTTGAGTTCCCTTTACAGACACCCAGCAGGCAGGCCTCTGCCTTGGGTCTGACCCTCTGGTGACCACATCCGCCACCTCCGGGACAGCACGTCCCCTCGGCCAGCCCTCAGCTCCATCAGCTAAGAGGGACTCGAGACCTCCCACTCACAGGTCTGGAGCCCTTTCCCGGGGCCCCAGAGGAAAGTCTCATGTCTCCTGCCACGTCGGAAGGTGAAACTGTGACCCCCTCCTTCAGCCTTTCTCCTTTATACACATACAAAGTCTTTCAGAACCAGGGAACATGCTCGGGCTTTCTCAGTTGCATAAACTTCAAGTACAGACTGTTCTTTCACCTCTTGCCACTTTGCTTCATGCTGGAGATAAGGGGCCTCGGCCACAGGGCTTGTGCTAACATTATGTGCACAGGGCAGGATCGTTTTGAATCAGAAACAGTAAAGTTCAAGACAATTGTGGGCACACTCCCCAAATATTATGATGGAAACACTCTGCCGCATGAGAGCACTTACTCAAAGGGCAATTTCTCATCGTTTGGCTTGATGCAGCGAACGTAGTGGGGCGTGGTCGCATTGAGGGTCTCCATGAGCAAGGACAGAGAGCTGCGGAACTAGGAGACAGAGTCAGACAACAAATGTGCTGAAAGGGAATGCTTACATCAGCGGTTCTCAACCTGTGGGTCGAGACCCCTTTGGGGGTCGAACGACCCTTTCACAGGGGTTGCCTAAGACCATCGGAAAACACATATATAATTACATATTGTTTTTGTGATTAATCACTATGCTTTAATTATGTTCAATTTGTAACAATGAAAATACATCCTGCATATCAGATATTTACATTACGATTCATAACAGTAGCAAAATTACAGTTATGAAGTAGCAACAAAAATAATTTTATGGTTGGGGGTCACCACAACATCTTTCACAGGGGTCGCCTAAGACCATCGGAAAACACATATATAATTACATATTGTTTTTGGGGCTAATCACTATGCTTTAATTATGTTCAATTTGTAACAATGAAATTGGGGGTCACCACAACATGAGGAACTGTATTAAAGGGTCGCGGCATTAGGAAGGTTGAGAACCACTGGCTTACATCGAGGCAAAAAAAGGCCCCACCTTGGTAAGTTAGGAGGAAAAGTTAACTTCATGCTAAACATCTATTATGAAAGGTTTCAACCCGTGACTGCAGTTATCAGCGTGTCCGACTGCCCTGGATGGAACACGGCTCTGTCCCACATTCCCACACAGCAGGAAGTGTGGTAAGTCACGCTACTGTGCAAATGTGCGGTTTGCCCAGGTGTGTGTGGCCTCGGAGGTTGAGGTGCGACCACGAGGAACTACTGCTTTTCTTTGCATTTGAGTTTACGTCCCGTTGGATGAAGCGTGGTGCCATGTCCAGGCCTGCAATGTGGGTCCGCCCAGAGCCCGGCTCCCTGGGGCCTGGCTGAGCCCGTGGCCCCTCACCCTCAACCCCTCCCGGTACCTTGCTCCCCACGGTGGTCCGGAACTGCTTGTTGTTGGGCTTGATGACTTGCTTTGCAGCTTTCATCGTGATCGCTGAACCAAAAGGGGAAGGGGGAACTGGACTTTCTTGGAAAAACTTGGCGCAGAGGTGAAACTGGAAGGAGCAGAGAAGATTTCAGTGCCCAAAAATGCTCACCCACAGCCCTCAGCTGGTACAAGCCACGTAAATGACCACAACAAGCCCATCCAAACCAGTGGAGGGTCAAGTGACGGTCTTTACATCAAGTCTCAATTCCTTGAGCAATCTCCTCACTCCGGATGACCAGGAATGGGAGCAGAGATTGTCTGTACGTGGGCATCACTCAGTGTCGGGAAGGTGGAAACATGTACAAGGCCTCCCTGTGCGCCTGGAATCTCCCTCCCACCCCACATCCTCACTCCCACAGATCCAAACCCAACCCATCATTCAAGGTTTTGTTAACATATTTTTCACCCTGCCCCTTCACAATGCCTTCACTGGTGCCCAGCAGGAAAGAATTCCACATTTCTCTGAACTGTCTTAATCTTTTATTTGTACCTCTTCTAAGACACTCATTACTTTCTACCTAATCAGTTATTTCTTTAAATGTCCGTCTTCTCTCTTAGAGTGAACCTCCTATTTTTTATTTTAAATTGGACATTGATCTCCTTCAGGGCAGAATCTCTGCCTGATGCATCTGGTGTGCCCATGGAGGAGTGGGTCTGAAACCCGATTCTCCGAGAGCCTATGTGCTTTACGGGAGACTCATCGGTGCTTCAACAGGATCTGCCTCCGTCTTCCAGACTGGACCCCAGGCTAAGCTTGGGGGCGAGTAAACAACTGGCAAATTAAGTCAACTAATTTCTACACAAGATGCAGGCCATTTCTACACTGGATTCTCTACCATGAACCAGTTTCAATGACTGAAGGTGTCACGGCCAGTGATTGATTTATTGTCATTAGTGGAATTCCCCGTGCTCATCTGGGAAATGGTCAAAATACCCGAACATCAACAAAGGACTGGGATCTTTTAAAAGAAGGAAAGTAATTATGATAACCAAATCTTCACAAAAATGAAGGCTTATGAAATATCCTTTCTCTCAAATTTTAATAAAGACATGTTTAAAGAGGAAATAAAAAAAAGCCAGAAGTCACTCTTTTGGTGACACTAGTGATCACACAGAACCGTGGGTTTGAGGAGCTTCCCCACCATAGCCACTGTCCCTCCCTGTGTGGCTCTCTCTCCCTCGTGCTTGGGTTTTCCTCGCACACTCAGCACTGTTTGCCATTGCTGATCACGTGCTTAACTCTGGTGCTCCCTCCAGCATGTGAGGCAGGAACCCCATCTGCCTTGCTCACTGCTGCATCCCCAGAACTTAGGCCAGTGCTTGGCACATGGCAGGTACTGCATAAATAGTATCTGTGACTGAATGAATAAAATGTGAGCTGTGGTTCTTTAAATGGCCAGATCAGCTGTCCTTCCTCTCTATTATTTGCACATTTGATTTCTGAGTTTGCATATAGCAGAGGTTTGTATGCTTTCAGAAGCTAGACACATATTTTAATCCCAATTCTAAAATAGTTTTTTGTAAGTTCTCTCCCTTCCTCTCCACTGCAAGACACACACACACACACACACACACACTCACACTTCGTACTCTTTCCTGACACGCATCTGCATAATGCAGAACATTAATTACCCCTCGGGACTTGACAAACCTTGCTTGCTCTCAGGATTTCAACCAGCATGTCATAGACGGTGTCTCTGTTCTTTTCAAGGAAACCTTCGCATTTATACTCAACCTATGCAGATAAAGGAATTCATTATTTCCAAAAAGACAACAGCAGACAGCACCTAAGTACCAGAAGTTTCTCTTCTTTTTAAAGAAAGAGCAACGAAGGGGCTCTAAAGGCAACCTTCCCACAAAGAGATTCGGCTTCTGTTGACCACAGCCACCCCAACAGATGAAGCTTAGAAAGCTGGGAACATGTCACGGACGGAAGAGGCCGGCTGCCCACTGCCCGGATTTCCCACTGGCCGCTGATCACTGTCCTCTCACCTGTCCATTCCCTCTGGCCACACTGACCATTCTCTGCAGTGTGGGCGGTTAATACACATGAAGGTCTAACAAGACCTGGACCGGGGCTCACTTGGCCTTAGAAGCCACCGGGGAGAGGAAACAGTTCAGTGGTGTCCTTTGGGTTCAAACAGAAATGTTTTCCTAAATCAGCATTAATGGGGCAGAAAGGAAAGAACCTGACCACCTGACCACAGAGCTTCCCAGAGCCAGCAAAGCTCTTAGAGTCGGGGTGAGAGTGGGTGAGTGTTTGCACTGCTTGAATCGGGCTTAGAAAAGCTCTCCAGCAGCCCTTCCAGATTCACGAGATTTCAGGAATCTGCTTCTGAGTTATATATTTTCATATGTGACATATATCCTTCGTAAATTAAAAAAAAATGTTTGAGAATAAAATATTAACTATGAGGAAACAGGCTTTCGGTGCTGGGACCTCGAGGCAGAGCGGGTGTTCAGCGACCCCCGAACAAGGACTCTGCTTGTCTCTCTGGGTGAGGAGGGGTCCTCACTGGGATCACTGACTATAAACACTCCCTTGTGAATGAAGTACTTGGATTCTTGTATAAATGCTTCCAGCTGGTGGTGTGAGCCACACGTTGAAATGAGCAAAGCTGTGACAAATGTAGAGCCTTTTCGATGGGGGAGACCATCTGTGGGGAAGGTCACAGAGAGCTGCGTGCCTCTGGGGGGGTCAGGGGACCCAGGGAAGATGTGCCGTCTTGTTGCGTCTAAGCATAGCTGCCTCACTTTCTAAATGACTATGTCCTCGGCTTCCTGAATTGAGAGCTAAGCTGACCTTACAGTGTGTGTGTTTTTCCCACCAATCCGCAGCCCACTCGAGTTACTGCCTCAATTCTTTTACGAGGCATTTCTTGGAAGTGCCAGGTGAGAGCATGAGATGAACAGAAACTGTGTGTTATAAAGAGGGCCTCCTGAGATAAATCCCAGGGGTGCTTTGCATGAAGTCCGATCCTTCCTTTCTTTCCCCCTTGGGGACCCCAAATAGGAAATTATAAAGGACACCTCGAAAACGTAAGTATAACTTGTTATATCATCATCCATCTCACTTGCCTCTCTTCAGGAACCAAATCTGAGAAGCCCTAAGCCTAAAAGGCTATCACATTTAACAGTACTCCTCTAGCCCAGAATTGCTACCACTTTCCAGCCTCCTGTCCCTCCCAGGCCCTCGGTCACTCGCACGGCCAGCACAGGCTGACCCACAGCACCAGCCGCTGTGACAGGCAAGCACAGCCCGTTCCCAGCATCCCCAGGGCTGGCCAGGCCTCGAGCGTGACACCCACTGAGGAGAGGAGCTTCCCTGGGAAAGGAAAACAAGGTGAGAAGGCACGTTTACGGCAGGTGGTGATGGCGATTTGTCTTTCCCCCTTCGTTAGGGAGGGGCGAAAGTAGGTTTGCAGTTGACTGTAGGGAAAATAACACAATAATTAATAAATAATAATATAAGTTGTTTGGGTACTCACAACTGTAAACCTACTTTTACCCCACCCTGTATTTTCTAAGCTTTCTGCCATGTGATTTTTACAAAATAATTTTCTCTTTTAATAGAGTAACATTTGTTTCATTAAAAATAGGAGGTTTATCAAGAAAATAAAGATCACCTAGGAAACCCACCATCTTCGCCAACCTATGTCACCCATATAATAAATACATTACAACTTAGTAACAAAGGAAAACCTCAAAAAAAGGCATAGCTTTTGTTACAAGAAACAATTACTCTGTCCTGATTATAACAATTTCACTGAGAAAATAAAATGACAAGAGGTTGATGAATTCACAGTAAATCCTAACGCAGAAATGGGGTCCACCGGCAATATGTTTATCTCTAAAGCAGTACAACAGGAAGGCATGCGTTCTGTGATAAAGACAAATGAAGAATTGTTGCATATACTCATGTCCCATGAGTTGGATCCGACCTGAGAAGTCCCTGGCCAGCCTCCCCCACGGGAAGCAGCTCTGGCTCCCCACACAGCGCCCTCCCAGATCACTGTACCTTATCAGCAAAGTGCTGGATGATAAAGGATGCATTTGACATTCTGGGCTTTTCAAACAAAGAGTTCTTGTTGACAAAATTATTATACAGCTTTTGAAGCCAGTTTTCATCAGTTCCATGTGGCAACTGGAAGAGGAAGCAAACCAAATATCAAGTAAAGAAAATAGAGAGGAAGGTTGAGTAGAGGCAAGGAAAAGTGCTCATTTTTTAAAAATAATTTTTTTATTTTTCAATTACAGTTGATATACAATATTATATTAGTTTCAGGAGTATAACCCAGTGAGTGGACATTATATAACTTCCTAAGTGATCACCCTGATGAATCTAGTATCCATCTGACATCATACATAGTTATTACAGTATTACTGACTATACTCCTTATGCTGTACTTTATATCCCTGTGACTATTCTGTAAGTACTAATTTGTATTTTTTAAATCCTCACCCGAGGACAAGTTTTTATTGATTTTTAGAGACAGAGAGAAAGGGGTGGGAAGAGGGAGCGAGGGAGAGAGAGAGAGAGAGAGAGAGAGAGAAACATCGATCAGTTGCCTCCTGAATGTGCCCCAACCGGGGATTGAACCCACAACCTAGGTGTGTACCCTGACTAGGAATGGAACCTGCAACCTTTTGGTATATGGGATGACATTCCAATCAAATGAGACCTTTATCCCTTTCACCCTGTCCCCCAACCCTCCTCCCCTCTGGCAACCACTAGTTCTCTCTTTGTGTCTATGAGTCTATTTCTATTTTGTTTGTTTGTTTTGTTCTTTAGATTCCATATATCAGCAAAATCATATATTTGTCTTTCTGTGACCGACTTACTTCACTGAGCATAATAACCTCTAGGTCCATCCATGCTGTGACAAATAATTAATATTTCATCTCTTTCTATGGAAAAGCACTTATTCTGAGAAACCAAGACACATGGGGCCTTAGGAGTGAAGGGCTCTTGATCCACAGCTCCTTTTCAAAAAGCAACACTAGCCCTGGCCGGGTGGTTCAGTGGGTGGGAGGGTTGTCTGGTACACCAAAAGGTGGTGGGTTCAATTCCCAGTCAGGTCACATGCCTAGGTTTCCAGTTCAATCCTTGGTTGGAACACGACAGGAGGCAACTGATTGACGTTTCTCTCTCTCTCTCTCTGAAGTCAATTAAAAAATCATAACCTCGGGTGAGGATAAAGTAAATAAATGCTTTTATAAAAAAGCAACTCCTGCCCAAACCGGTTTGGCTCAATGGATAGAGTGTCGGCCTGTGGACTCAAGGGTCCCGGGTTCGATTCTGGTCAAGGGCATGTACCTTGGTTGTGGGCACATACCCAGTAGGGAGTGTGCAGGAGGCAGCTGATGGATGTGTCTCTCTCATCGATGTTTCTAACTCTCTATCCCTCTCCCTTCCTCTCTGTAAAAAATCAATAAAGTATATTTTAAAAAAAAAGCAACTCTAGGCATAAATCTGTCCTTGATCTGAACAATCTTCAGAGCGATATTTAAATGGCCATATCAATGCCCTTTTAGAACAAAATGTTATAAACTACAAGGAAATGGTCATATAATAACTTAAGAATGAAGAATTTTACTTCTGTAAAATGGGCAGTATTTTTATATTTTTCTCCAAAGAAGTCCAAAGGTTCAGGGAAAAGTAGCACTGGTTCCATTACGTGCACAAGACTTTATTCTCAGGTTTATGGGGAAAGACTGGCACTTAAATGTAGTTCCCCTCCCCCCTGGAGAAGTTTTTCTTTTGTTTCACTGCCTAATGAATCACTACCTCCTTGCACTAAGATCTTACCTCCTCAAACTAAGCTAGCTGCAAAACTTGTTCTTGCTACTAGTGATTTTAAAGCTCTCGAGTATATTCAGCCTGAGCGCTGTGAATCTAATACCTTATTATGTTCAAACTAGAGGCCCGGTGCATGAATTCGTGCACAGGTGGGGTCCAGCTTGCCCGCCCTGATCAGGCCAGCCAGCTGAGGGGGAAGGGACGCGGGAGGTTGGCTGGCCGGCCCTGCCCCCGATTGGGGGGAGGGCTGATCGGGGACTGGGACAGCTGGGGAGGGGGAGAGGCCCCGGGCGGTTGGCGGGCCCTGCCCCCTGGTTGAACTTCAGTCAAACTCCAGGTCGAGGGGACAGTTTGCATATTACCCTTTTATTATATAGGATGACTCCTGTATACTGCTTTGTGACACTGGTCACCTAGGGCTATCTGTGATTTTCTAGAGACCACCTTATCCTCTGTCCCCTGCCCCAAGTAGATCATTCCAGAGTGCTTGGCACTGATACTGGCCCTTTAATCTTATATCGCTGCAGGTACTAAAGCACAGGGCACCAGAACAGATGATCTGTGAGAAGAACCATGGGGCTGAGAATTCTAGGGAGAAAACGCCAGTAAGTCCTCAACATTATAATCTTTTTTTGGTACAAATAAATATCTGAAAAAGAAACAGAACTTATGTTTGAACATCAGAACACCACCTTTAAACCAAAAAAATGACTAGTGTCCTGGGGATTATTTGTTCCTGTGGCCCCATGAAGGGCATTGTGAGGCTGACTCACCACAAAGTTGCTCCTCCCAGGGGGAACTAAGAAGAGGAGAACTCCTAGGGACCTCTTCTCCCAAGTGCATGGCATTGATTTTTCAGCCACACCCCGCGATGGGTGAGTCACAGAATCAAGAACTCACTTCTTGTTAGTCATTAACAATGGGCCCGGGGTCACTTGCTACATCCATGTGCACACACCTAGGGACAGCCACAAAGGGCACCTCCTTGCTGGAGGTGACCTAAGAGGTTGTGCATGTTACCCAAGGGTGGGCCCCACACACTGAGGTGGGAGGCTCACCTGGCCGTCGTGGGCTCCTGCTGTGGACACTGCCCAGCATTAATATACAACCAACTGGGTAGCACATCAAGAATTTACATGTACGTTTTTTAAAAATCCACTTTACAATATGCTCATCTGTTACTACTCACAAATTGGGGAAAAAATTTTTTTAAGTTACCAAGCATTCTTCATCCAGCAACTCCAAAATGCCCATTTTTGCTTCAATCAGGTCAATAACTGATTGATTGTCATAAAAATCGATCAGAGTCCAAGGGATATCTTCCTTCATATATTCTTCTTGTTCAAGTTTGAAGACATGCTGGGAAGAATCCAGAAGTTAATGTGGAGTAAAACAGAACACTGAGGTGTGCTTCTGAAGAGTAGGGTGTAAGCATTTGGAAGATGGAGATACAGGACAGATTTTCAATGTCTGTCAAGGACCCAGAGGTGCAGGCTACACCCCTTATCCATGACCAATGCCACTGAATTCCTATTGCAGGTTTAGACTTCACTCCCCCACCCCGTCTGGGTGGGTGCTCACATCCATCCCATCACCTCCAGCACCGATGGCACTCAGGGTGGTCCCGGGGCCTCCCTGCTCTCGCGCTGCTGCTCTCCAGGATGGAGCCAGCCTGCCGAGAATGCTGGCTGTGGGCCAGTGTGAGGAGCCAGCCACTAGCAGAGCTTCGTTCACTACTTGTGAGGGTACCAGGGGGCTTCCCAGAGCCTGGCTCAGGCTTTTCCTGGCTGCAGGCGGCAGGGGTCGGGGCTGTGAGGAGAGAGTCTCCCACAGAAGCATCCAGTGGGAGGAGCTCTGAAGCACAGTAGGTGGTTGAGAACCAGCCAGAGAGAGAGCACAGCAGCGAAGGGGGGCGATGGGAAAGCACAGTAGGATGAGGGTGGGTGGGTGCAAGCCCCCATGTGGCCTTTTCCTAGGGGCAGTGAGGACCCAGGAAGGGGAGGGGATGAGTGAGGGAGGGTCAGGACGAGACCTGGTAGTTCAGCTTGGGGTGGGGGCAGGACTGGAGGCAGAGAGGCCCGTCAGGACTCAGTTCTGCTGTGGCCGGACACTCGGGAGGTGACCTGGAGGACTCTGGGGGAGGAAGATGACCAAGAGCCACAGTTAGGACAAACATTAGGCCAGGACACTGTGTCAATGATAGTGGTTTAACCACAAAAGTAAGCAGGGAGGGTACGGAGGCCAAGAGGGGAAGGCGGTGGGTTCCCTCTGTCACTGCTGAGCTCCCTGAGGCCACCCGGTGCGGGGGCCCAGCAGCAGCCAGATTCATGGGACAGGAGCTAGGAGACAGTCCTCACTAGGGCTTTAGTGCTGATATTTTAAGGCATTACCCCTCCCAGGAGGCTCTGCACATTGACAGAGGACTCGAAAGAAAGGAGGTGGAGAAGAACAGGAGGAAAACACAGTTGCAGCCTCTGCTATGCTATTTCCAGGAGGTGTCTTGCATATGCGTTATTTTAAGTTGTGTTGGGGAGAGGGAAGATCTGCAGATTTATATTTTAGTTATACTGCATATCTACGTGGAATAAAGCTTGGCTGTGGTCATTAAATGCGAAACACAGGAATCCTTGAGAATGCTAATAAAATAGAAATTTGCAATAGGGTAACATGTAATGCTTACACGTGGATTAATTCTGGGGTAAGGAAAAGGAAAGAAAAGAAACACTTACTGAATCTGATTCAACATTAGGTCTTCTCAACAACATTAGGTGGGTGCTACTGAACCATTTTTAAAGTGAGGAAAGAGTCTCAGAGAGCCCGAGGTCCCAGAGGAAGCAGGTGGGAGAGCTGAGACTCAAACCAGTTCAGTTTGGGGAAAAGTCCGTGCTCTCCAGGATGTCATTCTGTATTTTCTTCGGGGTTGTGTGGGAGAAGACGACTTTGAAAAGACAAGCAGGAGAGTTCACCAGGTGAAGATGGAGGGGTGGGGAAAGGACGGGAACAGCAGGTGGGTGACAGCAGACAGAGCAGCAGATGCAAAGATGCAGCGTTTTTGCAAGGACGGGGGGCCTTCAGGAAGCTAACAAGACCACTTGGTCTGGCTGCACATCGGGGTCTGTACCCGAGAATGACAGATGAGGAACTGGAACTGAAGAGCAGGCAGGTGGCTCCAGAAAGATAAAACTGTAAGGTGGGAAGGTGTGATTTCAAACATGGCCACAAGGTGGTGCAGTGACCCAGCGTGCGGCTCCTTTACTAATCACAACTGGCAGAGGGAAGAAGCCTGGTTTGCCTCCTTCCAGATTCCCTGCGCTCAGCGCCAAGAATGAGTTTCAAGAAGGGAGAAAAGTCACCTACCAGGTTAAACTGCTGTTGCAGTTTTTCATTAGCGTAATTGATGCAAAACTGTTCGAAGCTGTTCACATCAAAGGTTTCAAAGCTGAAATGCAGTTAAAATGTAAATGTAAAGTTAAAATGTAACTTAGCGGACATATACATCATTTATTGGTCAGTATTTTTTGGACAAAGTTCATAGCTGAAAAGTTAGCTGTGCTTTCTGAAAGTTTTAAATATACCTGAATGCTTGACAGTCAATCTACAGCATAAATCAGCTTTTCCCAGGTTGCCTCAGAAGGAATGGTATGTACAAAACACCCACCCTGAGGCAGGCACTAAATCAGGCCCCTCACAATATCATGTATCATTTCATTCACAGCCATACTGTTATCATCACTTTGTAGATGAGGAAATAAGGCTCCGAGAGGTTCGGAAACTTGCCTAAGGTCACACAGCGATGTCAGACTGCTGTGAGCCTGCCGGGCTAGAACACTGATGCTTGCGGTAAAAAAGCAATGCTCTTTCCTACTCCCTACTCGCTGCCAGTTGGAGGGAGAGGCAGCACATTCTGCCCCCGCCAGGGTGCTTTCCCAGTTCTTGGAAGAAAAGGGCAAGGTCGTTTAACACTATAGCCCAGCAGGCCCATCAGGTCTGTGACAGACATGCCTGCCTCCATCCTCAGACTTTCAGCGCTGTCTCTGGCGCTGCCCTGAAGTTGCCCACTCGTGGGCTGGCAGGAGGTGGGCAGGTGACAGAGAGGGGAAGCGGGCCGGAGAGCGGCCAGTAAGCTGTGCGGGGCCGTGGCAAACAGGATTATCCAACGGGGCAGCTGCTACCTGGTACTCAGCTCCCGCCAGCTGTGGCCATGGATGAATGCAGGTCAGGATGCTAGATCACCTGATTCTCCAGAAAAGCCAGAAATCTGGACGTTTATGTGAATTATCCCATGTTATTGGCTGAACAAAACTCATGCATGAAATTCCCCACCCAGCCAGGGGAACGCTTCTGCCAGGAGGAAGTTCCCTGGTGCTTAGGCATCAGCATAGGTACACATCACTTCCGCCCAAACACCACCCTAGGTGGAGGGCTACAGCGACCCCACGGTCACACGTGAGGGTCAGAGGAGACGGTGACCATCGCGGAGAAGGCAGCCAGCAAATGTGCCAGACATGCAATTTGACGCCAGCTCTTGGTGCCTCCAAAGCTGTGGTTCTTCACTTCTCTATCCCCTGGGGTCCTGCCGTCGCCAACATGGATCCCCTGGGAGTGTCACTCGACAGCCAGCTTGGCTCAGTTTAGACTTGCTGGGCAGTTGAAGGGCCTCGACTTTCTCTAAACAGCTCCAGGCTGACTTGGAGCAGGAGCCGAACCCACACAGCCCCATTCCACATGCACGGGGGTAGGGGGGGGGCGGGTGCTGAGGCTGGACACTGTGGACAGGCCGGGGCTGGTTGGGGAAGGGTCAAAAGGGCCTCACTGTGCTCCACAGCGCACGGCCAAGGCCAGAGGCAGGGCTTTCTAGAGCAGGAACGGAATGTCACTCATCAGTGATTATTTCCCTGCCCTCTTGCCCACCTTCCCCAGAGCTAAAGTTCACAACCCAACGGAAAGAACTAAACCTATGACTCAAAAGGCCAGAAGCTCACTGGCGATGACAACACCTCACATTTGAACGATGCTGATGGTTCTGAAGATAGCTTTACCAATTCTTCTGTTTGATCTTCATCATACCCTGCGACAGAGGCCCCATTCTACTGATGCAGAAGCTGAGGTTCGGAGAGGCTCTGTGGCTTTCTCAGGGCCACAGGTCCTGTACGCTGCAGTGTGCACTCCCAGGGGTCTGACCTCCCAGCCCAGGCCTTCACAGCTCTGGGGCCGGAGAACACAAACACCACAGGCCGGGGGACCCCAAGCCCTCATGTCATTCCCAGCTGCACCTCCGAGCTCACAGCTTCATCTTTAAAGGCTCTGAGTGAGGAAGCACTGCCTATGAGGCTGCCTCATTTCTAGGCCAAACTGAGCTCAGTTCTCTCCAAAGTTTCAGGGTGCGCACGGAACAGGGCTCACTAGACATGCGCATCCTGGAGAAGGCATGAAAGGACTCGCCTAGGCAATAGCATCGTTACTTAAAAAGGGGTGCTTATTCTCTTGGAGGGGTACCATTTATTTGGAGGGGTACCATTTTGGAGGGGTGGCGGCAAGCATGTTACTTTTATACTTTTTGAAGAGGAATTTAATTTTAAAATTTAATACATACTCTATGAAGTTCTTGTGAATTTATAATTATTCCTGTCTCAGGTTTGCACACTTAGCCAAAAAATTCAGATTCCTGGATCTGACTCTGGGCTACATGCCATTCTCCTCACTTAACTGCTCCTCCCACTCAGCTGCCTCCTCTCTCCCCATCCCCAGCTAACCTCCCACACATTCCTTTCAAAGAATCATCCCCACCTAATTACCTACCTGCCCACTCCACTAAAATTTACATCCCAAAAGGGCAGGGGCCATGTGTCTATGCTGTTCACTGATCACACCCAACACGGGGCCTGGCACATAGATATTTGTTGGATGAATGAAATAATATATTCTTATAATAAAGGCCTATTTATTTTTAAGGCATTTTTAAAAACACAGAAAACAACAGAGAATAATACAACAATCACCTGTTTCCACCACAAAGAGACTATTGTTTGGCAGGACTGTTCCCTTTTACAAGTCTACTTACATCCTTACCAGCTGCTCACATACCTTTTTTAGCACAAGGAAAGGTAAATAATTTACTAGAGATCCCCGCAATGTCTCAGTATTTTATAACTGTTGACATGTACTATTAATTGGTAGTCATTGTATTAGTTGAGTCTAAGTTAAACAAAGTAACTCCCTTGAGGCACCCTCTTTGCCTGGGGTCAGTGTGCCGCCCTGCCCACCCCTCCCCAGGTGGGGAGGCCCAGACCCGCTCTCCCCTCTGCATGGGGAGGGGACTGGGCTGCTTTTCACAGACCTGGGCGACTGACCGCTCCCAGTCTGGGCGGAACACTGTGGTGCCTTTCGTGGCACAAGCTGCCCCTTGTCCCGGAGAGAAGCCAGGGTTGGTCTGGGAGGGGAGGGCTTGGGCATGGAAGGCCAGGTGCCAACAAATAAAGCCGGAATGTGATAGCCCCTCGAGCCCACCTCCACACGGGCCTGGCCGCACACGCCCTCTGGGTGTCTGTGAGCATCGTTCGTGGGCGTCTGGCCTGGGATTTAGGAAAGCATGATGGGGCAAAGAGAAGGAAGAAGAACAGAACTCCAACGTGAGGACTCCTGGGGAAGGGCTGGGGCAAATGCAATACCCGCATTATACGGGAAAGGATGAGGACTTAGGTGTGGGAGGCAGGTTGGTGAGAGGCCTTGGTTTGAGTCCTCCTCCGGCCTGTGGGCCTGGGCGAGGGCAGGACCTCTGGGACGTCATTCCCAGTGAAACGGAAAAGGGACATGGGGTCCACACCTCGCGGGGTCTCTATCAGGAGACAGAAGTGGGCCAGGGCCTCCCATGGTGCTGGGTCCTCCCCCAGCCTCGTAGCCTCACTGCTCCACCCTAACAGGGGAGAGTCTCAGGGCTGAGTGAGGGTAGGTGAGCAGCGCATGGAAACCACCCGGCATGGTCGCTGGCCACAGTGAGCTCTCGAGGGGCCGTTGTTAACTTAGCATTTACTAACACACTAAATAAGACACTGTCGCCCAGGAGACTGGACTTAACATTCATATGTGCAAAAACCGAGGACACCATCTCTCTGATCACATGGAACACAGAGGAGAAACCAGAACCGAATGATCTAAGGATAACGGGCATTCGACATTCAAACGGGGAAAGATAGGCTCTTACCCATAAATGTCCAAAACACCAATAAAAGTGTGCTGCTTGCCTGAAAACTGCAACGCTTGGTTAATTCTCTCCACAATGAAGTCAAACAGGTGAGCATAGACCTTCTTGGCCAGCGCGTCCCTGGCGTTGGCGGCCTGGGGCCTGGTCATGGGCTTCACCACCGTCTCCGAGGTCGTGATGATTTTGCGATTGCACAGCCACTGAGCAACGCTGCCACACTCCAGGCCCAGGAGCTCGCAGAACACCTGCAGGTGACTGTCATCCGCCTTTGAAAACAAACACGGCCCCATCAGGGCCGTCAGCCACCAAAGCCAGCACGGCCCCCCGCCAGGGCCCCAGGCCCCCACTTAGCCTGCATGAGAGGAGGACGAGCTGGTGTGAGAAAGGCCAGGACTCAGCGACACGGCCAGGCCTGGGCGTGAAGCGGGAGGGCCCAGCGGCAGGAGCCTGCCCCTTGCCCCTGGCAGGACACTGCTGCCATCTGCATTCGTAGACGTGCTTTTCACTAGTGCTCTTTTCTTCCTTGTGCAGACATTAATGAGAATAACTACACACAGGCCCTCTACCAATCATCACTCATATTTGTCACAGAAGACACACACATAAGCTTACCTAGTGTCCATTAATAAAGCAATCTGTCACAGAACTTACACGGTAAGAGTAGGAGGTGTCCTTTTTGCTTACAACTGTCCCGTGCCCTTTAGGCCCTACATAACCTGCACCCCTCAGCCCCCCATTTTCTAGCCTCACCTTCCACCTCTCCTTTCACTCACTCCTCTTTGGATATACTGACTTTTTTTGCTATTTCTGAAATTACACCTCCTTGCCCCAGACACAGGCAGAGTTCACGTCCTTGTGTGGAGGCCTCTGCCCACTGCTGCCGTGTCAGAAAGAAAGGAGGAGGATTCGGGTATGAGGTGCCCTTTCACAGAGAAATTTTCTGAAGGCCCTGCTCCTCTCAACCCTGCTCTGCCTCATTTTCCTTTTGAACAGCCATCAGCAGCTGCCAGAGCCTGTGATTGTTTATAGTGTCTCCTCTCCTCTGATTAAAAGCTCCTCGAGGGGACCTTGCTTTGTGTTGGTCACTGCTGTTTCTCCGGAGCCTACAACAGTGCCTGGCACGTAGCCGTGCTAGTCAAATTTGTTGAATAAAAGAAAAATACATAGAAAATGCATTCCCTCCTCCTCTTCTGTTGCAAGAGAAAGAAGCTTTACTCTTTGAAGACAACCCATGGGAACCCTTGCTTTCCTCTTCCTATTAAGCTGGCCTCCCCAGTTGGTCCAATGTGCCTGGTGCTAAAAAGCAAAAGCAGGGGAAACCTGAGATGTTCAACCGATGACCCTCGAAACACAGGCAGGGTGGAACAAGCAAGCCGCTTACACTGACTGCGGACTTCTCGTTGCCCACTGCTGTGATCTGCACGTTGCCCAGGTGCAGGATAGCTGCCAGGATCTTAAAAACATCCATCTGAAAATCCTCCTGGAAACCTGAAGACAAAAATGTTCCCAAATTAGGGCTCTTCCTAAGCCTTAGGAGTATCCCAATTAAGTTAATAACAATGTACCTACCTATATAGTTTAAGTTTAAAAAATTTGGCTCTCAAAAGAAATTTCAATCATTGTACTGTTGATATTTGGCTCTGTTGACTAATGAGTTTGCCGACCACGGCTCTAGGACCGCTGGTGCCCAGAGCTGGACAGGGAGCATGAAGTGGACCCCAGGTGAACCTGGCTCACTCTTCTCCCCAGTTGGACTTGTGCAAACGCACAGTGTGAACTCTGCAACCCGCTAGGTCCCCCTCAGCCGAGGCTGCTGGAAGTTCCACACAAATTAATACCCAGGTAACCATTTCGTGCCAGGTGCCCGGGAGAATCGGCTCTCGTTTATTCTGTGATGTACTTGCTTTATCTTTAATGTGCATTTTTCTTTTTTGTTCACAAGCTGCCTGAATTATTTTTCTGGTGGGGTCTGGATGTATTTCACTTGCCCCAGGGTGCTGACCTGGGCGGACCACGGCATGGGCGGTCATGTCCTCTGGCCTCTGGTTGGGTTTGACCAGTGAGGGCTGTGGGGAGGAGGTCAAAGAGGAGGAGGAGAGAGGGGCTGATCTGCTCGCTCGTCTCTTTTCTGGTAACATCGTCCCAAGCTGACTATGTTGCCAACTGACGTAAGGTCACTGCTCCTGGTCCAGCACTGACTTTCCCAACCCTCCTTTCCAGCTCCAGTAACACCCCTGGGCCTGAGCGGGAAGGTGCAGCGAACAGCTCTGCTGCTGCACTGGGTGCCCACTGCCCCTCTTGCCCCTGAAGCCCTACCCGCTCCGCCGGCCTGAGTTAGATTTCAGTGCGAAGCACAATGGTCCGGTCCCCTGGGCCCGAGTCCTGTCCGGGTCTGACTGTGTCCAGGGTGTTCTCTGTGGGAGCTCTAACCGGCCAGGCGAGGATCAAAGGACGGGGTTCAATGAGCACGGACAAATCAACCAACAACTAGCAATCACATTTAAAGGAGGGTGACGTGCCCGAGAGCGAGTGCGTTATAAGCCTGCATAAGATTCAAGTTAGGCAACCTGCCCTGGAGGAGGGCTCCGCCTAAGACAGCTAACACTGCGGCAGGGATAGGAGAACAGAGCCAGTGGGACAGGCAGTATAAAGAAGGTGCAGTGTTCGCCTTGCTAGGAGACAGAGCTCTCCAACATGACGTCTCTGTGCTGGGCAGCTCAGGAGCTACGGCCACATGTGTTACGAGCAGCTGAAACACACCCAGTGAAGCTGAGGGTCTCAATTTCATTTCACTCTAATTAAAGTACTTGTGGCTGGTGGCTACTGTGTTGGAGGACATCAGTTTAGAGACCATGAAACCAACTCACAGCATGATCTCCTTGGCTGCAGGGTCACAGGATGATGGCCATCTTGAAGTTACGGGGTCATCTGGTCCCACGCACGAATCTAGAGTCAATCACATTCCCCTTTGCCTGGCCCTGGGTGGTCAGGGGACTTCTGTGTTTGGACACACAGGGTGAAGCGAGATGGCTTCATGAACTCCCTGGGTCTTTCCCCATATTGCAAGAAAACTCTCATCTAGGTCAAGGGTCAGTCACTGTTTTCTTGGTAGGCTTTGCAGGCAGTGCCGCTGATGTCATCATTACTCACCTGCCACCATAGCGTGAAAATAGCCACAGACCATACTTACACCAATGAGTGTGTCTGGGTCCCAATAAAAACTGTATTTACAAAAATTGGATGCCATCTGCCGACCTTTGGTCTAGGATATTTTTAGTGATTCATGCAGTGAGGTCATGCTTTCATTAAATGTGTACTGACCTCTGGCACAGCATGGCACAGTTCATAAACCATTTTAGACATGATCTCTTCATCTCACAACATCACTCACAGCTACTGTGGTGGCTACTCCAATGGCCCCAGTGCCCCCTCCTAGCGTTCGTGCCTGCGTGGCTCCCTCCACGAGTCCTGGTCTGAGCTGGCCTATGGCTGGCTGTGAGCATTAGCATGTGGCAGTAGTGAGACCACATTACCTCTGAGGATAGTTCATAAAAAGCCTGGAAGAGTCCACCTGAGCCTGTTGGAACCAGCTCTGGGAGAAGGTAGCCACACGCGTGCAGTCCCTTCACTGTGAGACTAGCAGCTGGGACATCCACGTGGAGAGACAGACGCCACCCAGCCCCCCGTGGTTGCAGGTGACCCGGCTCACAGAGGATCCAGGCCCTGCCACCATCACATGACAGTCCTACGTGAGACGTGCCCAGTTGAGCCCAGTCCACCCAGAATCACAAGAGATAATAAACTGTCATTGTAAGCCACTAATATTTGGGGAACAGCAATAGATAATTGGAACAACTAAATATTGTCATTATTCTTCCAGGTTACAGATGGGAAACTGATGCCCAGAGATAATAATGGACCTGCACGAGGTCAAGGACCTATGTTATGACACATGAAAAACTGGAGCACGCCCTGGCCAGTGTGGCTCAGTTGGTTGGAGCATCATCCCATACTCTA